CACCCCAAAATACCCCAAAAACACCCCAAAAATACCCCAAAAACATCCCAGACCCCGTGTGCAACGCCTGCGGGCTCTACTACAAACTGCACCGGGTGAGGGACCCCAAAAACACCCCAAAACACCCCAAAAACATCCCAAAAATACCCCAGACCCCGTGTGCAACGCCTGCGGGCTCTACTACGAACTGCACCGGGTGAGGGACCCCAAAATATCCCTAAAACACCCCAAAAATACCCCAAAAACACCCCAGACCCCGTGTGCAACGCCTGCGGGCTCTACTACAAACTGCACCGGGTGAGGGACCCCAAAATATCCCTAAAACACCCCAAAAACACCCCAAAAACATCCCAAAAACATCCCAGACCCCGTGTGCAACGCCTGCGGGCTCTACTACAAACTGCACCGGGTGAGGGACCCCAAAATACCCCAAAATATCCCAAAAACACCCCAAAATATCCCAAAATATCCCTAAAACACCCCAAAAACACCCCAAAATATCCCTAAAATATCCCCAAAATATCCCTAAAATATCCCAAAACCACCCCAAAATATCCCTAAAACACCCCAAAATACCCCTAAAATACCCCAAAAACACCCCAACCCCTGTGTGCAACGCCTGCGGGCTCTACTACAAACTGCACCGGGTGAGGGACCCCAAAAACACCCCAAAATACCCCAAAAACACCCCAAAATACCCCAAAAACATCCCAAAAATACCCCAGACCCCGTGTGCAACGCCTGCGGGCTCTACTACAAACTGCACCGGGTGAGAGACCCTAAAATATCCTAAAATATCCTAAAAATATCCCAAAATATCCCTAAAATACCCCAAAACCACCCCAGACCCCGTGTGCAACGCCTGCGGGCTCTACTACAAACTGCACCGGGTGAGGAACGCCAAAATATCACAAAATATCCCAAAAATATCCTAAAATATCCCTAAAACATCCCAAAATATCCCTAAAATATCCCCAAACCACCCCAAACCCTGTGTCCAACACCTGTGGATTCTACTACAAACTGCACCAGGTGAGGAACGCCAAAATATCACAAAATATCCCAAAAATATCCTAAAATATCCCTAAAATATCCCAAAATATCCCTAAAATATCCCCAAATGTCCCAAAATATCCTTAAAATGTCCCGAAATATCCCTAAACCCACCCCAGGACATCCAAACCCCCCCAGGTTTTCAGCTCAAGGGGGGCCTGGGAGGGGATTTTTGGGGTACCAGGGGGTGCTGGGTGGGTCGTGATGGATTTTGGGGTTCTGGGGTGA